CCTGAGTCTGCATCTCCTCAAGGTGTAAGTACATAGGTTCCTTTAAAATATTTAACTAGTTTCTAAAACCTTGACATTGTAACACATGCACTATACACAACATTGCAGTATACAGAGTATAATAATGAATGGCGAAATCCACTCTTCCACTTCTATGGGGCCACCGTGGAAACTTTCTGAGAGCACAGGTCCTTAAGGTGAAATTTAAGTCTTCATGAATTTGGCCTAAAGTGTAGGTGTGAGTGTTGATTTGTATGTTCTCATAATAATATTAAAGGGGTTCATGATCCCTCACACATTATAAACCACTGACTGAAACTTTCTGCTCAGAGAGTTTGATCAGCAGCCATGTTTGCCTCCCATTTTTCTTGAGACCTCACTGAAATAAAAGTATAGAACATGCAAAAAGTACTCAACAGCAAGGAGAATTAGAAGACTTTGCTGAACAAATTATTCATTGAATTCATACCATAGGCCAAGTCTTCTTCTAGGCCCTGAAGACAGAGCAGTGAGAGAAGTCGAACAGAAATCCCCGCCATCTGGAGCTTACAGTCTAACAGGAGGAGACAGACGTAAACTAGATAAATTACTAGAAGGTGACAAATGCTGTGGAGAAAAAGAGAATAGTTAAGAGGACTTGGGAAGGTCATGTTGGAGTGTTTCAATGTTTTAAAGAAGGAACACTTACAAAATAGCGATTTCAAATGGAAAGAGGAGATCGCAGGTGGAAAAAAAAGCTGAGAACACTTTCTTAGTCAACTAAAGAGGAGGCTGGGCCCTAGCCGGTGTTGCTCAATGGATAGAGCATTGGCCTGTGGACCAATGGGTCCAGGGTTCAATTCCGGTCAAGGACATGTACCTTGGTTGCAGGCTCCTCCCTGGCCCAGACCCTAGTTGGGGCTCATGCAGGCGGCCACCAATTGATGTGTTTCTCTCACATTGATGTTTCTCTCTGTCTTTCCCTTTCTTCCAATCTCCCTAAAAATCAATGGGAAAATATCCTCGGGTGAGGATTAAAAAATAAAAATGAAGAGGTGGGAGCCAGTTGACTTGAAAGAACCCAAGGAGACTTGAAAGAATCCAAGATGATGGGAGAGGGTAGGAGGGAGAACAGGCAACTAAAATGGGTTAATGAGTCTATGGATGTCTTGTATTTATTGTTATTTGTATGCCCCACACATATTTTACAATATTCTTTTGTATCTCCCAGTATATAATAAACATAGACCCACACCACCTGGGGCAGGGAAGGGGGGATTACTGCTCCAGCCCACTGCCCTGCCTCTCTATGCAAAGTATAGGTAACATTTTTCCCACAGAAAAGTAAGGCTCTTCTCTCATGTGACTGAACTAAATACCTGAGGTCATCTAGGACTTGCAGTGTGGATTGGATGTTGGCAACACAGAATAGAGCCCTCCTGATTCTGGTAGTTACATTCTGCCCCGCACAGAGCTTCCAGCCAGATATTCTCAAAGGGACCAGAGGTAATATAGATCCAATAGTGTAATAGCAGGCGAAACCTACCCCAACGCATTTTCAGAATGTCCACAAGAGGGCACTATTGCAACACCTTCCTGCGGGGTGAGAGCCCTCTCAATTGGGTTGCAGAAAGCAGCCTACTGTGAACAGAAGCCGTCCCTCCACACTTAGCTGCATGCTGCCTGTCTCCCTCTTAGCTCATGCATCTCCTTTCCTGGGTAAGATGAGACAAACCAGCACGTACCTTAGTGTATGGCTGGCTACAAGCTTCTAAGAGAATCTGTCTGGATTTTGAATGAAGACCAATGGGAGCTGGAAGGACTGGGTTCTTACCCAGTTGTTGGCAATGTGACCCTGGGCTTAAGTGTATGGGGACAGGGTTCCTGCCATCTCACAGGGCTGAGCTCAGGCCAAAGTAATGGTTGGGGCCAGCTCTGCAGCACAGGTCGGTTCAGCTATCCCAGAACCTCCCACCCCACCGGAGACTTCACTTCTTCACTCTAGCTTTCCTGCTAAGGTCCTCAGGGACAGCCTGACAGCTAGTACTCCAAGGGATAGCATTTGACAGTTTAAATATAAAAAATCTGCCCTAGCCAGTTTGGCTCAGTGGATAGACTGTTGGCTTGCAGACTGAAGGGTCCCGGGTTCGATTCTGGTCAAGGGCATGTACCTCTGTTGCAGTCTCCCCCCTGGTCCAGCCCTGGTCGGGGCACGTGCAGGAGGCAACCAATCGATGTGTTTCTCTCACATTGATATTTCTCTCTGTCTTTACCTCTCTCTCTTCCACTCTCTAAAAATCAATGGAAAACTATCTTCAGGTGAGGATAAAAAATTTTTTAAAAAATATGCCCTAACTGGTTTGGCTCAGTGGACAGAGCGTCAGCCTGTGGACTGAAAGGTCCCAATAAAATATATTAAAATAAAAGTGAAAACACTCCCTTGTGCCCAGGAGGTCCACACTCTGTGGGATAAATGGCAATCGTTCCTCATGGTGTGTCCACCAGATGCAGCCGAAGCTTGTTGCCTCTCTTGCCCTACTCTTTCGGGTATGCTGAGCCCTTTGTCCTGTCCCAGGCAAGGTGTTCTCTCCCACCTTAGGACTTGGTACACACCGGTTCCTTTGCCTTGAATGCCCTTCCACACCCTGACCTCCCAACTCCGTGCATACCATGTCCTTTCTGTGACGCCTTCTTCACCCGCTCTGTCATGCTTTTATTGCAGGAGTCAAAACATATCATGAACATTCACTTGCCACCTGGCTTCCCTCCTGGGGGGTTGCACACACATCCGGCTCGAACAGCAGGCCGGAGCGCGCTCCCTCTGAGGTCTCTGGAGGACCTCGGGAGAATATTCATCAGCTTTCCGCCGTGTCTCTCCTCAGGGTCCTGGGCTCCACTGATTGGTCCTGCCGGGGAGGGGTCATTAGTCACCGCAGCTGGTGCTGATGTCACCAGGGCAGGCTCCGCCTGGTTCTGCTGCTTCCCTGGGCTTGGCGCTGATGCACAGCTGAGGCCTAGCTGCCATCTCCAGGGGCTACTGCTTAAAGGGAGTGTCCTGCCAAGGCTCGTAGTAATGCCCGTTGTTAGGCACCCAAGACCCTCTGCACCTGGCCCCTCCTTCCTGTTCTGCTCATGCCTCCCTAACTGGCCGCTACACCTGCACAGGCAGCCTTATCAGGAGCAAAGATCAAGAATAAACCCGGGCAGGGGCAGGTAAGTCAGGTGCGATGAGCACAGGGGAGCCTTCCTGCCCGCAGGTCTGGAGTCGGGAGGGACTGGGCGGAAGCCGGATCCCCAGCCTTTCCGCTTGTATTTCTGATGACCGGTGGTAACCATCGACCTTTCCCTTTAGGACAGAGCCTGTAAATCAGTGATGTCTAACCTTCCTAGGCTCACAGACTCCTGGGGAAAAGCCAGGGACCTTCTTTCCAGAAAGAATGCGCAGACGCGGGAAACTCCGCAGACTCCTGCAGAGGCCTCACGGACCGTCAGCCGAGGTTACCCCGGGGATGTCGAGGATCATCCAAGTTAAGAATCCGCTTTCAGACAAAACTCTGTCTTCCTTTACAGAGAGCCGGGCCATGTCGCCACGTGCAGTGCCCTGGCCTGAACCAGGGGCCAGCTGGCCAGGAGGCGAGGGCAGCGGTGTCTTTGGGTCAGCGCCTGGGCGTCGCGGGAAGGACCCACAGGCAGGTAATGGCCGCCGTGGGGGCGGGAGGC